TTATTTCAGATTTATATCTGTATGAAATGTAACCTTCTTCTATCTATTTTTCAGGTTATTCTTGATGTACCGACAGTGGGGGGACAGCTTATGCTTGTTGACATGGCAGGTTCTGAGAATATTGAACAAGCTGGACAAAATGGTTTGGAAGCAAAAATGCAGGTAGAATTTTTCAGGACTTTTGTTTTTTTATATTTTTCAAGTTGTTTCCTAGACTTTTCTTTTCCTTTGCCGTATGAAGGCATGTTAGTTTTTGATGCTAATCTTTTCTTTTTTGAACAAGTTGTTAATCAGTTTATGTTTTCCTTGAAAGCACAGACAGGAAAGATTAACCAAGGAAACATAGCTCTGAAGAGAGTGGTTGAATCTATTGCAAATGGTGATTCTCATGTGCCATTCAGAGACAGCAAGTTAACCATGCTTCTGCAGGTGCCTCCTGTTTACATGCTTTCAGCTATGATAGTTAGCACGACTTCTCCTTTTTGTTTCATCTGTTTGTGTTGATATATGATACTCTTGAGTTCTATTGGTTTAGGACTCTTTTGAAGATGATAAATCTAAGATTCTGATGATATTGTGTGCGAGCCCGGATCCCAAGGAGATGCATAAGACCATCTCAACTCTGGAATATGGAGCTAAAGCAAAATGTATTGTCCGTGGTCCTCACACACCCATCAGGGAGAAAGGCACTGAAGATTCTTCATCATCGGTTATTTTGGGATCAAGAATTGCAGCTATGGACCAGTTTATTTACAAGCTACAGATGGAGAGCAGGCTCAGAGAGAAAGAGCGCAATGTGGCCCACAAAGAGCTTATGAATAAAGAAGAAGAAGTTTCGGCACTAAGGGCTAAACTTGCAGTCGTGGAAGGGAAGGGATCTGGGACAAATGAAGAGGAGATCAACATGAAAGTAAATGAACGGACCCTGATGCTGAGAAGTGAGTTGGAGAAGAAAATCGAAGAATGCCAGAAAATGGCAAATGAATTTGTTGAAATGGAAAGGAGGAAAATGGAAGAAAAGCTATTGGAGCAGCAACAGGAGGTTGACATGCTGAGGCGTCGCTTGGAGGAAATTGAGTCTGAGCTTTGCCGTTCTAGGGATGAAAACAGGTCATCAGACATAGATGGAAGTAGCTTCGCTAACAGGTTGTTGGAGATTTATGCTGATGAAGATCCAGGGATGGTGAAATCAATGGATTTGGATAAATCAATGGATATGGGCATGGGGAAACAAGCTGGGATGCTTCATAAAACAGAAAACAATGTTATTCAGGCAATTTTGAGTTATCCTCATATAATCAGTTCAAATGAAGAAGAAGATCATGATGTATTTGAGCCAAATTTTGCCAGCAAATCAAGTTTGAGTACTGTATTTGAGGAAGAAGAAGAAGAGGTGGATGATATAGAAAAACCTGTGGATGAAGAAGTGCAGAAAGAGGTAATAGAGGAAAAGACAGTATGTTCTAGCAGGCTGGCAGATAGTTCTAAACCTGACACAGGTTCTTTTGCACCATCTACCCTAAATTTTGAAGCCACGCCGGATTTGTCAAGTCAAAATTCAGAGGAAATTTACTATTTTAGAGATAGAACAGAGGAGAAGCACTTGGGATCTAGATTTATAAATGAGCCTGAAAATGCCAAGGATACAGCTTTTTCTAGGCAAACAAGAATCCAAAACATATTCACACTCTGCGGGAATCATAGACAGCTCCCTCAGCATAATAGAACCCCAATTCCTACAGAAACAAGTTTTGAAAATAATAGTGGTTCTCCATCACCTCCTGTGAGGACAATTGGAGAGGATTCTTCTCTGATAAAGTATTCTAACGAACCATCGCAACTTCAGAAAAGTGTCTCCGGGAATCTCTTGGCATCAGGTAAACCTGAAAACAAACAGAAACATACAGAAAACCTGATGAAGGAAATCAGGGGTTCTGATGAGATAGCACTGGATTCGAAGGAGAACTACAACCCATTAAATCAAAACATTGATGACCTGGAAGTATACGTGAAATGGGAGGCATCAAAGGAAAATCCAGGGAAAATTGTCACCAAAATAAAGATTGTAAAGGATTCAACCCTTTCTGATCTGCGGAAGCTAATTGAAATCCATCTTGGTGCAGATAATCAAGCATTCACTTTTCTGGTACTTAGGGTATGTTATTCTTCATTTAATGTTTTATAATGTTTTTGTGAAATTTTTCCAATGCTATATTATCCATGTGTTATCGGCGAACATATATGTCTCATCAAGTACTATTAGCTTATTTAGAAAGACTTCTTTTGGCATAAATCTTCATTAGTAATGTGTTTAGCTTGTTGTTCATTGTCTATCTTTTCGGAGGATAAATTACTATATTTTGCAAAGGAAATGAATATCTTCCACTGTAAGGGCAAAGGAAATGCATAACGGGATCATTGCCCTAAGTTTCCAACTTTTATTAGGAAGTTGGATCCAGCAGGACTTTGGAATCTTATGACAACGACCCAAATACATGATAAATCCTGAATAATAATTTCTGTGGTAGCCTTTCTCCAAATTGTAATGTATGTGCTTGGATGTGTGGAATTTGGGTTCTAGTTTGGTTTCTTGCATGTGTTGTTCTTTGCTTTTTGGTGTTAAGAGGAATGACCTCTCTTTTCTCATGTTTTTTCTTGCTTGTTTGATGGCTTGTTATTGAGTCTGCTTGAAAGGTTTTTTCCCTTGTAGTTCTTTTGGTTTTGTGCGTCTTCCTGAGATTGAGCTTTATGGCTTCCTGTAATCTGGTTTTTAGAGAATTAAATAAAGCTTTATGGCAAGAAATAGAGAAAAGGAAGCACACACACCAGAATTTGTTTCTCACCTTGTTGCTCCTTTTGCTTTAATGTGTCTGTCTGCCTTTAGATCAAGCCTTAATTCAAAAAAGCTCCGTTATCTCTTACCTTTAGAGACATTAATGCTTATGGAACACCCTTCCATAAATACACTGGGAATGTTGTCCAAGGACCAAATATGGAACAGGATCCAGTTGGGTAATTAAAGAAGTCTAATTTTTCTTGTCACCGTTTATGTCTTGTGCTTGTGTATGTATACACTTTTCTCATGGGAAATGCATGGACTTTGTGTATATAGGATCCCTCTGGAGCTCCAGTCCCTAGAGAGAAGGAGACAACAACTCAGACAAGCAAACTTCCAATTTGCAACAACCAGTTGCGCGGCCACCTGGCTTGCTTGCGTCCAGTGAAGGGAGTCCAATGTCCGAGTCATCTCCCATTCAGCCCGTTGGAAAATAAACTTTTGGTCACTTCAGATTCAAATTTCAAGATGCAAAGCGATGGTTTTTCACCTAACGTACCACAACATGTGACTTCTACACCATTCGTTGCTGTTCAAAGATAGTAGTTGCCATGTTTGATCATGCTTCTGTGAGTTTTGTGCAGCTACACATTGTAATCATCCTAAATATGTGTATTTTTGAACACATTGATGTATGTACTCTTGGTACATTCAAATATGTACTTTTGATACATTCTTATACGAGCACCTTTTGAAGGAAGGGTAGGTGTCCATCCAGCAGCACTTCTGTAATTACTTACATATGTATCGTAATATGTTTTTTTTTGGGTTATGAATCATTTTTGTTCTTGTTTTGAAAAAGTTTGGTCGTTCATATTTTTAGTTGAATGTATGCGAAGAGTCACTTTCTAATACGATATATGGCAATATCTGTTTTCTAATTAAATGGTATATGTACATGTTGCTCTTGTTTTGAAAAGATCGGTGTTTTATACAATACAACGGCAGTTTGTGTTTTCTGGTTATATGAATGTAAATTGAGTATCACTTTCCAATACTATATACAGCAATAAGTGATTTGAAAAGATGTGTTTTATAAGATGAAATATTTTTGCATTCCAATGGGGAATGATTCAAGGTGGGGGTCAGAACGAGCGAGCTTAAGGTTTTGTTCGAAATTTTTATGAGTTCAAATCCGCTTGTGTTGTAAACTAGATATTGTTGGAAGGGTTGAATGTTCAGTTTGTCTTCGGTGGTGATCTGGTGACAGGATCTCGATCATCAAACATTCTACTGTGGGTTACTACTCTAAAAAAAAATCTTGCGACCTCTGACGCTACACCCACATGTATGAATTGTTTCCATTTCTATACTTTTGGATGTTAAGTGAAGATAGATGAATATAACCTTTTTTTTTTTTAGATGAATATAACATTTTGGGATGGTCAAGTGGTTAAATCTTACTTCTTATAAGAATGAGTTCTCACGTTGAATACTTCTCACACTTTCTAAGGGTCAATCACCTTTCTTCAAGAGACATATCCTTAAACTAATTCGAGTTACGGTGGCTGACTCAGAACTTGAGGAAGTAATTATATGACCCTTAAACTATACATATGACCCTAGAAAAAGAAGTAAATTATACATATAATTCTCAAATTATGATATTTATATCAATTAAGTCCTTGAATTTTTTTTTTATGTCAATTAAACTCATCAACTCTCTAATTGTGTCAATTGAGTCTTTCTGTCTACCTCTGTTGCATTCAATATTTACTCATCCATTAAAGTGTATCACTCATGTGACTATATGGCAAAAAAAGACAAAATGATTAAATTAACACAATTAGAGAGTTGATAGACTCAATTGATACAAAAAAAAAATAGAGACTTAATTGACAAAAGGGTTATAATTTAAGGGTCATATGTTTAGTTTAATTTAATCATTTGTATCACATGTATTGACAAACTTCGTCATTTTTCGTTAAAAAATTTAACGGAGATAGATCGAATGACTCAATTAATACAATTAGAGAGTTTAGGGTAACGGAGATTTAATTGACATAAGAATTATAATTTAAAGTTATACCAGTAAATTACTCTAAAAAAAAAAGAAGAATATCTATTTTTTTCGTTAACCTTGCAACTCAGAGATGACTCGGGCAAAATAGTAATTGAAAAGGAAAAACCTTTTAACAGTTTGGACCTTCATATTGAATAATGGTTACAACCCACGAATTCTTCTTGAAATCTCATCACATTCATTCCCTTCATAGGCTTCCAAAACTGGATCCGGACCCTTCTCTTGGTTCTTCATTACATGGGCGAACTCGGGATCCGGGAATCCAGTCAATTCCTGGCCTTTTGATATTGATGATCTCATAGACCCACCATTAGAAGATGCCTTTGGCTTCTTTTTGCGCGACTGTTTTGCAACTACTGGTGGTTCTTGTTGGGGAGACTCCGACCCAAGACTTGAATTGTTGAGCCTCCTCGGTCGGGTCGATAGTTCCCTGGTCGAAGATTCGAGAATTGAATTCTTCTTCCTCCTAGGCTTGTTACTGCCCAATGGGGCCCGACCCGGAGATCCTACTGAACCATTGAAAATCTGGCGCCTGGATGGTTTCGTTTCACCGAAGATATTACGGGTCGGGGAATCCGTCGGGGCACCGGATGACTTTTGCATATCCGAATTGCCTATGAGCAATGAATCTTGAATAAAAATCAAAGTATAAAGTGAGTCCTAAATTTTCATTTTATTAGAGGGGGAACCAATTCTTCATTCATGTAATGGAAATAGAAAATACCAACTTTATTAAATAGCATTTCATATATATTGTTATAATTAGAAAGTTTGAGTCTTCTTTAAGTCACATTTTTACTAAACACGTGAACCCGACACGATACAATTCATAAACGAATCGAGTATAGGTGAAACAACTCAAAAGAAATACACGATACAACTCATTTACATATTTGTTATATATGACACAATTCGTTAGATATAAATTAAAAATCAAATCAGGTATGAGTGAAATATTTTTTTGACACGAACCCGTTAACACCCAATACGAATCTATCTCATATGTCATGATTAACGGGCCTACCTGTATTTACCAAAAAGGAAAAAAATTTTGACCAACATTTTAGGATAATTTTTTATGACTTACTTGAGTTATTTTTTGCTCAAGTTAAGTTGAATAAGTCAGTACATATTAAATAGTAGAGTTGTGGTATATCCTCTCTCTCTCTCTCTCTCTCTCTCTCTGTTTTTTTCTTTTCTTTTTTTTTTTGGGAGGAGGGGGGCTAGAAAATATGATACCTTTGGCTGAATACTTGGTAGCATACGTTGGTAGAGTGTTACAATTTGATGCTCCAGATGAGGGTTCCGGAGAAGTTCCAAACTCATTCATCTACAAAATTCTAAAATAAGTTAATTAATCACTTATATAATTCAATGTAAACATGATTGCCTTGATTAAAAAATAACATAATGTATAATGTTTGGAGGGGCTTCATTTGCTTGAAATGACTAGGAAATAGATGTTATAAACATAGAGTCGCCCCAAGTCAATAAACAAATGATGCACAATACAGAAATAAGAAATCATACATATTTTTTATGAATACCAATGAATCTAGCCTATTATTCATTAAGTAAAAGGAAAAGAAAAAAATTACTATGCGATGCGTGAAATTAAATCCTAGGACCTAAATTATCTTGGAACATTAATGTTGGTTTGTTTGTTGTTTTTTTTTTTTTTTTTTTTGGGCAGCCACTATTTTGTCCCAAAACACATTAACATTTCCAAAGAAAATAATTATCAAAAGAAAAAGAAAGGAAAAAAATAATGGCTTACCACCCAGCTTGGTGAATTTGCAGGTGTACATTCCCATCCAATGTGGGCAAGATGTTTTACATCTGTGGGGTGGCCTATCTGCATTTCTGGTTCTTTCTCATTCTCTGCAAATTTATTATAGATTATAATTATATTATTGAACTTTGTAAGCTTTGAAGAAAGAGAACATGGAAAAAAGGAATTCATATACAGTGACTTGGCATATAGAAGAACTAGGGTAATCTCTGCAATGCAGTCTCTATTGTATTATGATTAAAATGTAAGTTAAAATATTTACTGTGGTTGGTTAAAATATAGATGAGTAGGTTGTAGATTTATCGTAATTAAACTTTAAGCATTGTTACTGATGGGACGTGGGCGGCTTGCCAGTTACAAATCGATAAGTGTCACATTACAGCCGGTAGATGTGTCCATTGAGTTCCCATATGCCGAAACCGAATGATAAACATTCCCAAGACCGACTAAGAATGCACCATGGAGGAACAAAGACGTGCACGACTGATGCTGAGGATTAATTGCCCTAAGAAAGTGCGCCTCATGCAAAGCGTTGATGTAACGAACGATCATTACTCTATCACATCAACTCCGAACTTGTATCAAACTACAAGAAAGATAGAGGCACGACCCTCTGTTGATGAAGAAAAGCCCTCAGTGGCATCAAATTGAATCATAAATGCTCAGTTACAGATCGTGAGTATTCGACGTGGAACACTTGATGTTTGAGAAACTTGATGTTCAAGGTGCCAGAAGTCATAAATGCTCAGCCTCACAAGCTTTAAAGTTATGATTGGACCCCATCGCCAAGTAAGCATGACAGGGCACACTTATTATGCGGCGCAAAAACAGTAGACTTGCTAATATTCTGACTTTTTTGCAAGAATTTTCACCGTAAGTTGTCAGACCTAAGCTTTGAGTACTCAAGTAATTGTCACATCCTCACAATTCAAAGGTATAAATAACCCAACGAACCAGGGCACAAGTATGCATGCTCAACCAACTTTGCATTGTACACTTATCCTCTCAGCATTGAGCGTCGACTAACTTACACATTAGAAGGGATAAGCCGAGTGCATCCCCAACCTCTTTCTGACTTCATTCCTTGTTTCAAAAGTCTCATCCAAACTCACCCATGGATCACTACCTCAAATCATTGCAAAGTTACAAGAACTTTAACATAACTTTGGTGAAAAATTTTATAGTGGCTAAGCCGTTGAATTCAAGTGATTAAGTAAATATTGTGCTTTATGGTAAAAAGAGTAAATTTTATTGTGTAGATAGAGAAAGAGTCATTACCCAATTTTAGTATACATTAAGGAAGAATGTTGATAGGAATTAAGTGATTGTACTCAAATTTGATGCACAATCGCACAATTGTTTGAACAATTTTGATGGTAGATGAATAGATGAGAAGAAAATTGAAAAACATGAAAAGAACTCATGTTTTTATTCCTCCTTGGCGAATTTATGGTGATGACAAGTACTCTAGAATGATACATTGAAGATTCAAATTTAAAAATCATTCTCCAAAATAGGGGTCAAACATAATACAATTTATCTCTCATAAATAGTCTTGCATAGTGGGTATAACTTCTTTTTTTTTAATTTTCTAAACAATTATTTCAAAAAAACTATATTAAAAAATTTGGGAGGAAAAAAGAAAATGAGCTAGGGGTACATACCAAATATTTGTGAAATGTATCTTAGGCCTTTCAAGAGGCCCTTCACCTTTGTGGGCATTTTGGTTGAAGGATTTGTCTATGCTACTTATCCTTCAAAACAACATTTGTGAGAAATGCCAGGAACAAACCGGCGTTGGCGACAACAAATTTACATCAAATTCTCCCTCCGGGACCAATTTTTTTGGATTGAACCAACATGGTGTCATCTCTTCAGATCATTGAGACCAAACAGTAAACTCCAAATGAGAGAGAGAGAGAATTATGGTTGAACAAAAGGCTTGTTTTTTCCAGTTTTGAATCAATTAAAACCAGTAGCTGAGCTTATTTTTAGGGGAATATTCAGAGCTGTACAGCTCCAAATCCCCATTCCTAACGGCTATTCCTGGCTTGAATGTTAACTTCTTCTATGATATACGAACTAAATCTATTATCATCATTGGACGGACAATAAATTTATATAATACTACTTAATACACACGTGCGTTGCAAGTGAACCGTTGTAAGAATAAAATATTAAAACCGAAATACATGCATCTGATAGGTGGGACTACCAAAACAAATAATGAGCCACAAAAAAAAAAAGGCACTTGTATGAGAAACATAAACGATTCTCTAAAAGAGAGAGAGATAATTAATTCACGGTATAAAACAAGGCAACCATGGATATAACGTATTTGTTATATAAATTTCCAACTGACAATAAATTTTCGCAGAGATAACCGACATAAATTTTCAACTGCTACTTTTACATAAAATATTATACAACCAAAATGGACTTTTAATAAAAATATTGGCTACAAGAAGTCCCTTGAAAACTTCAGCAAGACAACGACCAGTTGCATAGTCATACTTATATCCTCCATTACTTTTAAGAAATAGAAGTTGACATTCCCTGATAAATTACAAATGGACAACATTGTATCAATATCATTCAAGGAACTCAATATACAGACATGTATTAACATTTTATATAAGAGTGGTATGTGGACAACTAGATTTTGTTACCTAACTCAAAATTTTATGCATATGAATTGCTTAAACGTTGGCATAATAACTGAGTATTAAACATGCATGTGCTTGTGTAGAGTATGGGCTTCTACCCACATAATCAACCATTGACAAAGACTTAAGGAATGTTTTCCACTTAATTTAAAAGAAAAATTCACAAATAGACTTGCCATTGTATCAATATCATTCAAGCAACTCAATAAACAGACATGTATTAACATTTTAACAATTTCCTATATAATCTTTTTTCTCTACTTCCCAGGATACCTGTATGGGTCGCTTTTTAACATTTGCTCCTACTTATATTTTTTTGGTTTTTTCTATTACCTAAATGAAACTGACATCATATTTTTATTGAGTGCTTCTTGAGGCCTTTGGCCAACTTTCTCCCTTAGTTGATTATATTCACTATCTTATTTCACATACTTTCGCTTTACCTACCTCAAAGTATTGATAGTTCTGAAACAAGCCCCTTCTACTTGTATAAGTTCTTCAAATTTTGCTGGAACCCTAAAATCATCAAGTGCTCTCTTCATACCCCCATACGGCGAAAATTCCCCCATCAAAGTTAAGTAAAATATTCAAGCATAATTCATAGCTGTGAAGCATACACACAAATGTCTACAAACATACAACTCTTGGAAGAAAAGGCAGAAAACAAACATAGCAAGGGCACAGTAACAGAGAAATATAATTCCTATTTAGTTGATCTCCTAAGACAATAAATAAACAAGTCATAATATATATATATATATATGAACTCAGATAATTTAATTACTCCAGCAATTCTCCGATGCTCGCCCCTTTTAAAACTTTTCAATGTCTTATCATTGTCTTGTTGTGTGATAAAAAGATTGCTCCATCCTGACTTGAACGTTACGGCATAGGTTTGAGTCAGGAATCAGTATCTCAACATATAAAGATAATACCATGTACGTTTGACTCTTCCCAAATCCCATAATAGTAGAAGCCTCATGCCCTGCTCTTTTTTAGTATGATTAATGTTCCGTATTGAATTTTGAAAAACCTTCATTTTAGTTTAATTTAACAGTTATGCTCTCTCGTTTTCCATACTATACGAAGTTCACATCCTAATGTCAAAAATTTGTTGTGACAATTTTGTCTAATGTCTATCGTTGCATTTGGTACGTGGTAATACTTTTTAGTAGGAATGGAATGAACTTGAGAATGGAATGAAATGTGCATTACCATTCCAATGTTTGGCAGCTGTTTAGGATTAAGTGTTAGAATGAAATGTTCATTCCATTCTTATGTGTGGATAAAATAATATTTTCATTGGAATGGAATCAAATTTAACCAAAAATAATTAATAACATTTTTTTTATAATTGCGATTGCTTTTAAAAGTTGTGTAAAGCATTTTATAATTAGAAAAAAAGAGAATTCATTGAAAAAAAAATTAAACCCCTATAAATTTTAAAAAATTAGAAAATAAATTCCTTCAAAAATAGGTTCACAAAAAGAAAGCAAAATAAAAAAATTATTTAAAATTGGTCATTTATTTCAAACGAACAATTATAGTTCTTTATGAATTCAATAATGCACATGTGACAACCCAAAAAGAAAACTATCAAGACAACTAAAAATCTCATCTGAGCATGTAGGTTGAACCAAAAAATAAATCGATGAAAAGCAAGTCTAAAAGATAATCAACAATATACAGAAAACAAAAACAAGTTGAATAAAAACAAATATTCTTAAATTCCATTCATTTCATCTCAATAGCATTGGAGGTAGAATTCCAAGAAACAAAATTATTCTCAAATATAGGTACAAAAAATTACACTCTTTGTCTACTTGCTCTCCACTCATCAAACATTTTATTTGTCAAATTCAATTTAAATGTTGACTACTCGTTGAATGTTTCAATCGTGGTAATACAATCATCATGTACATCATTTTTCACCACGAGACCTGCTGCATCTACCTCCGCCTCGATTGGGTCTACTAACACCTGATCCCTTATGTAGTTGTGAAGCAAACATAAGTGCTTGCTAATTCCTGCAAATGGTCAGCACAAATTAAAAATTCTGATATTGCTACATAAACAAAATGCAAAAAATTTAGGTACTTGTACAGCAACCATCAGAACTCACTATGCAACTATTGTGGCAAACATTGGATCAGTACCCAAATAATTAGGAATATCAGAAAGAGTGGGGAGGGGGTGGTGCCTTCCACGGTTCCACCCATTCAACACAGTTGGATAAGATAACCAACAAAGAGAGTAGATTAAGCAGATATCAAAATTTACAAGCAAAGTACTTCATTAAAATATCCGAACAATGAAAAATTATTCACGAGTACTTTGTACACAAGAGCTTCGTTCCTAAAAGAGTGCTTGCCCATAGCAGACCCATTTCTTTTTCCTTGCAGT